CTCCTCCACATAGATAATTTATCCCTCTATGAAGAGTGGTACGTTTTGTGGCTGCTTGGTTTGGAGCTGACAGACACCTGGGCTTCTGCAGAATTCCATTTGTTTTCCTCCTGGAATGCATCTCAGTGCAGGGCTCCTTCTCTGGAGCTGAGTCACGGCCCTGTTGATATGGACTCCATGGAGCCCACTAGCACCTAGAGTCTTAGCTCTCGAGGCATTAATAGCTCAAGTTCATGATCTTACTTTATGTGCCCAAGGTCTGCCCCGATCCATGCCCTGCTCTAGTCAGCACCAAAAGAGGTCATGATATCTAAATGGAATTTTAAAATGCCAAAACCATACAAAAGAATGCGGCCCTGGGGTAGCACTCATCTGCTAGGTATGAGACCTTTTCCCAGAGCGAGTTCTCTACAAACAAGGTCAGCAGGAAAGCGGACACTACCTTAGCCAGGGAGGGGCCCAGGCGCCATTAACAACTCTGGCCGCGGTTACCTCAGACAACGTAAATACAAAACTGGTGCTTGTGTTTATTTAAAGTTATTGGCATCGGGCTCGTTCCTGGTAGACAAAGATTATCTTGTTTACAGCAGCATCCAGATGATGGACAAGACTCTGTTTGATATAGATGGAACTATGCAGAGGGGGGACCCGCTAGCATAAACAACTTCCCTCAAGCAAAACAAATCCTGCCAAGACCCAAGCTGGAATTCATTTATTATACAGCTTCGAGTCGACTTGTTTCAACATTCAACAACTGCAAAAGCAGAGGGATAAAGCTGAGGTCCAAGGGCACTGCTAGCCGGCTCTGCACTTCTCGGGTGTTTTGCAGAAGGTGTTTCTTTCTGGTTTGTCAGGTCACAATGCCTGCATCTCTGCAGATGTCACTGGCATCTCTTCCCCAAGAGGTGGGGCCAGGGACTATGCATGCATATGCGAGAGGCAGGAAGGAGTGAGGGGCCACCTGAGGATCACTCCTGTCCTTTCTAAGGCTTCTGACCTGGAGGGTAAGCCGGGACGGGGAGCCTTAGTGAGTTTAGCCCCTGAGAGACAAAGCCTGGGATTTCAGGATGACAGCCCAGAGCCCGAGTGGGGACAGTGCTCGGTGAGGACCTCTGGTCTCTACCCCAGTCTGGTTCAGACAGGCCTGGACGCGGAGCTGGACCTTGATGGGAACTGACTCCTTTCAGGAACCGCAGGGCCTCCTGGGTAGGACTCACCAAGTGAGCAGAGATCAGCAGACAATGGACCCAGGGGACGGGGACTCCAGGTGACCTTAGCAGAAGAGCCCCCATCAGCCTGGACTGCAGAAGACCCAGAGAAGGGGGTGGTGACAAGGCAGGAAGCCCGCCTGGCTGGGTGAGCTGGGAGCCCAGAGGCACCCAAGGAATAAGGAACTACTGTGGGGTGCAGGGCAGTTGACAGGGCAGGAGGGAGACAGGACCCTGCCCAGGAAAAGGAACAGTGCTGCTGAAGTGTGTCCCCAGGAAAGCCCCGGTGTGCGGGAGGCTTAGGAGGACCTGCACAGCGAGGGCAGGTGGGAGGCCCACTGCCCTCTGGGTCTTTCTCCCTTGCCGTCTGATTCTCCTCTAGATTGTCCTTACCATAGTCCTAGTGTCCAGCATGTAGCAAATCCAGCTAAGTGCCAGTGCCACCTTTTGCCACCTCTCTGCGGCCTGCTGTCTCCTGGGCATACCTGCTGCCCTGCAGCCCTTGCACCAGAGACTTCTCACCCGTCTGGTTGGGGAGGGCCTGTGTGCTGAGTCCCCCTGGCTGTCTAAAGGCTACTAGGCCTCCCCGCTTTTGGGGAGAACCATTCTGGAGGTTTAAGCCACCCAGAGAGGCCGCACTTGCCACCTGCCCTCTTCTGGCCCCAACTGCCCCCACTACTTACTGGGGCCTTTGGCACCAGAGGACGGTCTTTCTCCCTGGCTGAGCCCCACCCCACCCGCTCTGGCATCACTGTCCAGCAGCCATGGCCCAGTCGCCTTCACCTTCCCCCAGCCTCAGCCACACCTGGACCATGCCTACCCAGAAGTGTGCTCTCAAACGCACTCCACCACCCTCTCTCTGCCTCGGCTGCTCCCTCCACACCACGCCATGGGTCTTTGGACTTCAGGAGACCTCTGCATCGTGACACCTTCATTTCCTCTAATCCCACCTCATTCTCTTCTTCTCTTGGTCCTAATCACTCCACCTTCCTGCCCCCTCAACCTCTGCCAAGGCGCCTCCCCACTCAGCTTCCCCCCATGCTCCCCTCTTCTACTCCACATGGGGTGTAAGAGCTGTCTGTGGCTCATGACACATTTCCCCATGCCTTAGCAGCTTAAATAAAGCCACAACACCTCCTGTCTCCCACGGTGTCTGTGGCCTCAGCTAGATGGTTGTGGCCCAGGGCCTCTCAGGAGGCTGCCCTGAAGGTGTCAGCCCAGACTACTGTCATCTGAGGGCCCTGGGGCTGGAGGATCTGCTTTCAAGATGTCCCCCTCTGTGGCTGCTGGTGGGAAGCGGTGGCCTCTGTGGGGAGCCAAAGCTTCTGTGGGATCCCTTGAACATCCTTCCAACATGGCTGCAGCCTCCCTGGAACAAGGGCAATGAGAAAGAAGAGCAAGGAGGACGACTCAAAGTCTTTTGTGACCTAGAATTGCAGTCACACACTGTTATTTCCACGTGCCTTAGAGGCCAGTTGCTAGGTCCAGCTCAGAATCAAAGTGAGGGGACTGAGACTCCACCTTTGAAGAGAAGAGCGGCAAAGAACTTGGGGGCGTGTTTTAAAACCACGGCAGTTCACTTCCTTCTTCTCCTCTCATGACAGCAATCTCTCTGCTTCCTGCACACAGGACAGCAGCCAGAGTGGGCCTGAAGCCTTGGCCCTGCATCCAGCTCTCACCCGCTGTCTCTCCTCCTGCAAATGGGCAGCTGAGCCCCAGAGGGTGGAGAATGACCCCATAGACAGGCCATGTGTCCATGCCCATGTGTTCTCCCAGCCTGGCTGGCCTTTTTCTGTTTCTGCACATCTCTACCACCCCAGGTGGCCTGTGCTGCTGTTTCTTGGTGGCATACCTAAGAAAAAGTGTCCCCCTGCAGCCACCCACCCACCCCTCTGTGGACACTTGGCCTCTGACTTCAGGGACACCGTCTGCCCTTCCAGAGGAACCTGTGTGGTAAGCTGTCCTCGGTCCCACCTTCCTGTGTCTTCCTTCTCTCCTTTAACTCAAGCTGGATTGTTCTGGATACCACTTCCCATCCTTCTTGCCCTCTCCACTCCTTCCTCGCCATTGCTCACCTTGGTACTGGCTCAAGTCCCTTCCTGCTCCCCAGTCACGGGCAGACTCAGGGTGCTCCAATCTTTCACTTAGTTTTAAAATGCAAATGAATTACTAATCTGTCTGTAACCAATAACCCCCATGAGGCACCCCACTAACCCACCATGATGTGCCTCAACTGAACCTCTAGCCCAGTGCACTTGTGGCCCATCTGCCCATCAGTGCTGCTCCCACACGGAATCCTGTGTAACTTAACCACAGGCCCAAGACCAGACGGATGCCACTCCGTCCACACCAGGCCCCTGGCTGCGTGTCCTGTGCTGGCAGAGGGTACCTTTCCACTCGGAGGTCACTCAAGCCAGAACCAGGGAGCCTTCCATCTTTCTCCCAGGTGTGAACAATCAATGAGGATCTCAGAGAATAAAACAATAATAACAAAAAACAGGCTAAAGCCACTTTTGGAGGGACAGGAGTGATGTGAATGATCCAGAGGCCAGGATTCCCGCACAATGCAGATGCTTCCAGAAGCACTGCCCAGCACTCTCCTTGGCTCTTTGCGAGGGTGACTGTTCCACTCTTGTGCCTCCCTGCTGGTGCTGGGCAAGCACCCTAACCTCCTCTGTGCCTCTTCTTCTCCCTCTGTGAGCTGGAAACAGTGACAGCATCCACTCCATAGTGTGCTGTGCTGACAGAATGGTGAGTACCTATAGGTGCCAGAGAGCCAGGGCTCTACTGCCCACTCCTCGTCCCCCACAGGGATGGACATTACCCAGGAAATGCCACCTAAGTCTAGCCCACTGACTGGAGCCATCTGAGAAGTGTTTATTGTTAATCTGCATCGAGTCCCGCACTGAAGATGAGAGTGTTTTAAACCGATGTGGCAATTGGTAGAGTCATTTCATCCCTGTTGAACCCAATAAGAAATCTAAAAACCTGCGCCTGCGCTTTCTGTTAGAATGGCTAATAATAAAATATACGGAGCAGTCCTCACGTTGGTGAAGATGTGGAGAAAGTCACTAAGATGAAGTGACGGGACTGTGACCTACTCGGTCCCTCCCAGTCTGAATGGACGACTGGGTGGTAATGTAGGCAGGTGGCCGTGGAGCAGGGGGTGGCTGGGGTGTGCCCTGGAGGGTGCATCTTCCCTGCCACCCCTTCCTCCCTTTGCCTCCTGACCCCACAAGAGCTGAGCCACTCTCCTCCTCCACACTCTTCCCCCATGATGTGCTGCTCACCTTGGGCCCAGAGCAATGGAGTTGGCCACCTGAGGACTGAGGCCTCTGGAACCATGAGCCCCAAATAAGCTTTCCCTCCTCTAAGTTGTTTTTGTCACGTACTTTGGTCGCAGTGAAAAAAATCTAACTAAAACAGTAGAATATGACTCAGTCTTCAAAAGCAAGGAATTTCTAACACGTTACAATTTGGTGAAACTTGAGGATGTGCTAATGAAGCAATCCAGACACGAGAGGACAAGCAGTGGACAATTCCAGAGATTCCTAGAGACATCAGATTCATGGAGACGGGGAATGGAGGTCGCCATGGGCTGGGCAATGAGTGGGGAGCCGTGTGGGGCGTAGTGTAGTTTTGCCAAATGCAAGAGTTCTGGAGGTGGTTACCCAGAAATGCCTCTGTCCTCACTACTGGACTGGACACTTAAAGAGGTGAAGATGGCAGGTGGTATAGTATGGATTTTATCCACCTCACCGCGCCCCCCCCCCAAAAAAAAAAACCACAAGGTTTGGAGAATAAATTTGGGACTTGGGTCCTATATTTCTTTTGAAATTTCATTTTTCTGGTAATCAAATTTACACAACTACTTGTTCAAGAAGTACTGGAAACAAAACAAAATGAGTCCTCCACAGTTCCGCACAGATGCTTCTGGAAGGGCGGCCTGGGGCCAGGCTCTCCTTGGTTCCTCCCTGGGGAGCTTGTCTCCCTTTCTTTTTTTTTCCTCATGAAGACAGAAATCTCCAACTCCTAGGGGTCACATGGGTGCTGGGCTCCACCTCTTGCCTCTTCTGGCCTCAGGGTTCCTTGGGTGGGTGGCCCTGCCATCCTCCACCATGGCAGGCCCCACATCTCACGTTCATGCGCCGTCCTTCCCTTGGAGCCTTCTTGCTTGTCTGTCCAAGATGCCTTTTCCAGGAAGCCTCCCTGGATGGTGAAGCATCAATGTCACGGCTCGTCCCACACAAGCCTCCTTTGCATGAAGGCAAATTTAAGAACCTTTAAGAGTTCAGATGCCTAGATGGGCATTGAGAGGGAGGCTTTGGGCAGACGGGCTCCTTGCACTCCTCATGTGACACCCACAAAGTCCTCCAGCCACTTGTAGTGTCCTGGGTCTTCACGTTCGCTTGCTCTTTCCTCCTCTGGGCACGTGTGCAAACCTGTGTCCTTCAAAGTCCATGCAAGCAGCTGGTATGACAGACAGGAGGGTGGAGGTGGGCCTGGGACTGGCACCGGTGCACAGTGGAGACCCCGGCGGAGCCTCTGTCCCACGAAGATCAACAGCTTCTGGTCAACCAGGAAGCACAATGTTGTTTTAGTCAGCTTTTTTCTGCTTTGATTAAAGGATCTGACCAGAACAAATTTAAAGGAGGAAGAGCTTATTTAGGGGCTCACGGTTTCAGAGGTCTCAATCCACAGGCAGCAGGTCCCATTCCTTGGGGCTAAAGGTGAGGCTGAACTTCATGGCAGATGAGTATGGCAGAGGGAAGTGGCTCACTGACGATCAGGAAGCAAAGAGAGAGATTACCACCTGCCAGATACAAAATATATACTCCAAAGCCACGCTCCCAGTACCCCACCTCCTCCAGCCACACCCCACTCGCCTTCAGTTACCACTCAATTAATCCAATCAGGTGACTGATTCGCTGATTAGGTTAAGGCTTTTACATCCCAATTGTTCCTCCAAATCTTCTTGCATTATCTCACACATGACATCAAGGCCATAACATTCTGACTTTGGCCCCCAAAAGCTCACACCCATTTGACAATGCAAAAGACATTCAGCCCATTCTGAAACGGCCCCATAGTCTCTCAACAGTTCCGAGATTGGTCAAAGTTCAAGTTGAAAGTCTTCTCTGAGGCTCAAGGCAATCTTGCAAGTGAGCTCCTATAAAATTAAAGCAATTTAAAAGTATCCAATATATAATGGTACAGAGTAGACACTTCTATTCAGAAATATAGGGGGATAGAAATAAAGGATAGTGAAGGGAAAGTGAGGAATGGGAGATGGGCAAGCGAGAAATGAGAGACGGAGCCCAGGCAGAGCTACACACGAGAGTTTATCTGTCAGAGCTGACAAATAAAGGCCATCTCTCTGCAGGAGAGAGAGGCAACACAGGCTTGGCCTCCAGGACTTTTATGGAGCAGGCTCAGGGATTAGGGCCGGAGAGTTCTAATGCAGGAGGTTAGGGGTGGGGTTGGGTGAGGGAGCCTTTCTCAGAAACACAATTTGGCGGGAAAGCAAAACATTTTCATAAAATGGCGGCTGTCACTTAAGATGACCGTCCAGATGCTAAGTAAGGACCTTATAGATAGGACCAAAGCAAGACTGAAATCCAGCTGGACAAACAATACCTGTGGCTCCATGTCTGGCATCTGGGGCACATGGCATTGTGATGTTCTGTTCAACGAGCTTCTGTAGCTCTGCCTCTGTGACCTTGTTGATTGCAGCCCAAGTGGCCTTTCTGTGGCCTGCCTCTGCTTGATTCCTGCAGCTTTCCTAGGACACTGTCCCACATTATTGGCATTTCTTAATCTTAGGGGTCTCCACTGCAGCTTCGGCTTCTTCCTCACACTTCCACACTTTGACATCTCAGGGAGTGCCTCTGATCCTGCTGCACTTTGCCTGGGCTCTAACGCCTTCTTTTGAAATCTTGTTGGAAGCCTCTATGGCCCCCTAATTCCAGCATCCTGCATTCCTACAGAACCAGCACCACATGGTTGACACCAAGGTCTGCCACCATCTTGAACACAGCCAAGCCTCCCTTGCTGAAGCAGCCTCCGAGTGTCTGGGTAGCTGAGAATGTTGAAAAAACATCCTAGGTCTCCTTGTGTAAGAAGGATTCCCCACTGGTCTTAAGAGAATTTTCACTTTTACTCCTTTGAGCCTGAGATGGGTGTGGTCTTCCAAGCTCCAGAGATGCCCCTCAAGCCATCTTTCTTATTGTCTCTGGGCAAAGTCTTTAGCATTTCCTTAGTGGCAGTAAAGTCTTGAACAACTACAATTTCTTTAGGCCCAGTTTTATTCCCATCTTCTAAGACCAAGTTTTTTGAAATCTTTCTGCTCTGCTTTCTGCTCCTATCATAATAAACTTGGCTAAAAGCTGCCAGCAATATCCATGCCACCTCCTGAATGCTGTGCTACCTAAGTATTTTTTCCACCAGATTAAGAGTCCATCACTTTTAAAATCAGCCTCATAGAACGTCTCAGGACACAGACAAAATTCAGACAACTTCTCAGCCAGAACATAACACCAATGGCCTCTATTTAAAATTCCAATAGAGACCTCCTTCTCTGAACCCTCTTGAGCCCTGTCTTCACTGTCCACAGTCCTATTGACATTCTGGTCTGAGCTTCTAACAGAATCAACCATTAAGCTCAATTTACAACTATCTAAAGCATTTCCAGCTTGAACTGCTAAACATCTCAAAATTCCTCCCACCAATTCCAAAATGCTCCAAAAAACATGAACCACACAGGTTCATCACAACTACAGCCTCAACTCCCAGTACTGATTTCTGTTTTAGTCAGCTTTTTCACCACTGTGACTAAAGGACCCAACTAGAACAATTATAAAGGTTTATTTAGGGACTCACAGTTTCAGAGGTCTCAGTCCATAGAAGTTCAACACCATTCCTCTTGGGCTCAAGATGGGGCTGAACATTATGGCAGAAGAATGTGGCAGAGGGAGGCAGCTCACATGATGATCAGAAAGCAGAGAGAGAGAGAGAGAAGAGAGATAGATATCTACTTGCCAAACACAAATACATATCTAAACTCATGCCCCAATGCCCCACCTCCCTCAGCCACACCCCACCTACATTCACTTACCACTCAATCTCATCAGTTGAATGATCCACTGATTGGCTTAAGGCTCTCTTATCCCAGTCATTTCTTCTCTGAATTTTCTTGCATTGTCTTACACATGAGCTTTTGGGGGACACCTCACATCCAAACCAGAATAACAGTTATCAGGACAAATTTCTAATGGGTTTCCCATAGGCCCAGGGGTTTCCCAAAGTCCTGCCCCATGGCTCCTGGCCCAGGTTCCCTTTCCCTCCCCTGCAGATGAGATGGCTGATGACTAGGCAGGCCTAGAGTCTACACCAAGCATCTAGATTCAAACTAAAATAGGCTGTACCTAAACCCCTAACTGAATGTTTCTAAAAAAAATCTCCCAAGTGAAAACTGCAGACAGACAGGGGCATCTTCTTTTACCTGGTGATAGATTCAAGAAGTCGCAGTGAGTCAGTGCCAAGGCCCAGCTCTCCCTGTCTGGACACCTACTTTCCTGGTGGCCCTGCTTGATTTGAGTTTTATTTTGCAAACAATGAAAACATCTTTATTAGATGTACACCCAACTTAGGAATTATTTATGGTTTCCTGTGATCAGGCATAATGTGTCAGACCCAAACTGAAAACTGGGCCTAAATCCTACTTGAAGTAGGTTTTTGTGGTTCATGCTTATGATTGGTGATTGCTGGGTTTACACAAGCAAATGGATACTATAATTTGGAGGATGAGCCAATAAACTACTGTTTAGGATTAAGTGCTTTCCACTAAGGCTTTCATTGATCCAAAGAGGGCCCAGGCACATGGGCTGCAAATGAGAATGCCAACTCTGAGGCCTGGTTCTTAGTCCACAGGAAGTGGGGTCGTGCCTCTGCAGGCTATCTGATTAAGTGGGAAACAGAAAATACTTGATACACAGCAAAAGTACGTGAAAGAGAATACAAAAAGGAAAATAGAGGCAGACCTGAAGCTTTACTCAGCACCAGAAGGGCACATCTTCAGGGAGAAAATGGCCGGCGGGCCGCCTTGAGGGTCTGGGTTCATAGGGCCTTAGCTTAGCCAGGTCACGGAGGGAGTTAGTTACTTTGGGCAGGCAGGGCCAGGTCGTAGGAAGAGGAGTTTTGGCGGTGGGCTCGTTCAGGACGGGGCAGAGAGGTAGGGGAACAGTAAGGGAAGTTCCTCCCTGTGGCCTATTTTCTATATAGAAAGATTCACATGTAAAGATTCACTGCCGACATTTTGAAGCCAGCTTGGAGTCATGAGAATTGGAGATTTGATCTACTAGGAGGGAACGGACCTTTTCACAGGCCGTTATGCTGGGTTTGGGGAGGACAGAAGCATTTCAGAGATGACCAGCATTGTATTTGAGACCCACAGAGGCTCCCCCTCTCCTCTCCCTGTGGCTCTGCAGCTCCCTGGCTCTTGGAAAGCTGTCGCTGCTTTACATTTAAACTGTCTCAAGGTATGAGCGGTCCTCTTGGCTGTTCCTAGTTTGGAGCAGGACATTCATGATAGACAACAAGTCTCTGCAAGGGCAACTATCAAAGTAGCATTTATAAAAATACCCAAGCAAACCCCCCCAGGGAGATCAATGGCGGGAGACCAGCGATTGGAATCCCAGGCAAGATAAACAACCCTTTGCAGAGCAGAGCCAGACCTCCGGAGCTCCTGGGGAATGTCCTTGGGAGGAGCAGTCACTGGCACAGATGTGGAGGGGAGGATGGCTGTGAACAGGGAGCTGGGCCAGGCCCCAAGCTCAGCGACCTGGCCCCAGCTGCCCACATGAAGGGCTCTGGCCATACCTGGAGGTTTCCAGGGGAGGCTGGGGTAGCTTTTCAGATCAGGGTCCCTAGCCTTCCTTGAATGAAGGAAGGGACGTGGGTGTTGGTCGCAGGGCTGGGGGTGCCAGCTTCCCTATGGAGAAGGGAGCATGGTTCAGGGCCTGGGATTTAAATTCCCCTATGGTTTTTTATTCTAATGTTTTCCAAAATTAGTTGGATCATTAAATATCTGCCTGCTGGCAATGTGGACTCAAGGTGGCCAGCTTGCCCCTCTGGGATGAGCCCAGGCGAAGGGCCTGCAGACCAGGCTTGGAGCAACGGGGTCATGAGTGCAGTGACCAGGGCCGGGTTGGCGGCACTTTGAAGATGCAGGAGGCAGTGGGTTCCTGGAGGTGATGGGACGCAGAGGAGGCGCAGCTCTGCCTCGCTCCCTGTGTGTAAGCCAGGCAGTGTGTCAGCACATGAGCAAGCTGGTCTGGACCCTGCCCTGGGGCTTCTGGTGAGCAGCCAGCCTACCCGCAGGACCCCTTGCTTGGGGCGCCTCAGCTTTATGGCATTTGGAAAGCCACCGATTGGAGCAGCAGATGCTGATGCTGGGAGATTCTTCTCTCCTGGACCCAAGCCCTCCTGTGCTTGCTGGGAAAGAGCTTGTTCAGGCTGGGCAGGAGCAAAAGATACAGCTTTCTGTTTACTTTGGATATTTCCAGACACCAGCACAGACCTTCTGGGTGCCCTGGGTGTAGAAGGAACAATGCAGGCCTTGGCTCAGGGTCACCTCCTTACAGTGACGTTCCCTGATCATTTTTCCTAAAAAAAAAAAAAAAAAAAAAAAAATCAAACCCAAAAGACCCAAACCAGTCAACAAAACAAAACTACCCTCTTGGCCTACTTGACTCAGATCACGAAACTCCATTTCTACCTGTTCTTTGTCCTTCTGCCCTCGAGACGCTCAGGGACACTGTCTGCATGTTCACTGCTCCTTCTCTGGTAGTTAAACAATGGCTGAAAGGTAGTAGGCACCTTAAAAATCGTGAAATAAGTGAATGTGCTTTAAAATGTGCCAGGGGTTTGTCCTGACTGGGGAGGAAAAGCCCACAGGCACAGGGGACAGGTAAGGCCCAGAGATACAGGGGACAGGTAAGGCCCACAGGTACAGGGGACAGGTAAGGCCCACAGACACAGGGGACAGGTAAGGCCCACAGGTACAGGAGACAGGTAAGGCCCATAGGCACAGGGGACAGGTAAGGCCCACGGGCACAGGGACAGGAAAGGCCCACAGACACAGGGGATAGGTAAGGCCCACAGGTACAGGAGACAGGTAAGGCCCACAGACACAGGGGATAGGAAAGGCCCACAGGCACAGGGGACAGGTAAGGCCCACAGACACAGGGGACAGGTAAGGCCCACAGGTACAGGAGACAGGTAAGGCCCACAGACACAGGGGATAGGAAAGGCCCACAGGCACAGGGGACAGGTAAGGCCCACAGACACAGGGGACAGGTAAGGCCCACAGGTACAGGAGACAGGTAAGGCCCATAGGCACAGGGGACAGGTAAGGCCCACGGGCACAGGGACAGGAAAGGCCCACAGACACAGGGGATAGGTAAGGCCCACAGGTACAGGGGATAGGTAAGGCCCACAGGTACAGGAGACAGGTAAGGCCCACAGGCACAGGGGACAGGTAAGGCCCACAGGTACAGGGGACAGGTAAGGCCCACAGGCACAGGGGACAGGTAAGGCCCACAGGCACAGGGGACAGGTAAGGCCCACAGGCACAGGGGACTGGTAAGGCCCACAGATACAGGGGACAGGTAAGGCCCACAGGTACAGGGGACAGGTAAGGCCCACAGACACAGGGGACAGGTAAGGCCCACAGGTACAGGAGACAGGTAAGGCCCACGGGCACAGGGGACAGGTAAGGCCCACAGGCACAGGGACAGGAAAGGCCCACAGACACAGGGGATAGGAAAGGCCCACAGGTACAAGGGACTGGTAAGGCCCACAGGCACAGGGGACAGGTAAGGCCCACAGGCACAGGGGACAGGTAAGGCCCACAGGCACAGGGGACAGGTAAGGCCCACAGGCACAGACAGGGGACACAGGGATGGGGAAGGAGCAGAATTCATACTCAGGAATCCAGGGTCTGTCAGGAGGCATAAGATGGGGTAGGGCATCAACAAAAGCTTTATTGTGGCTTCGCTGCAAGGGACTGATGAGGCAGCTCACCAGGCTCAGGGTTGGACGGCTTGAATAATTCTGGTTCTAATTGTCCTAGGCTGTGGTCCCCTGTGATCCTGGACCTGGTGATTAGGGTAGAGGAGTGTGGCCTCTAGGAGGTGCAGCAGGCAGCCTGAGGGAGGTGCTTGGTTAGTCTGCATAGCAAAGGGAGCTCTGAGGCCAGGCTTTTGCAACTGCAGGATCTGCTACTGTGGGGGGGACAGGCCCTGCCTGGCCTGTGGCCTCCAGGTCAGAGCGTTATCCAACCTAGAAAATACAAAGCAGCACACAGACTTCGTATAGAGTGGCTCTGGCGTTCGCACAAATACAGAAGTCATGATGCAGAAGCTTCGAGAAATGGAAGAGTCAAATGCGTTTGAAATGAGCCAAGACAACTTGGTACTGCCCCATTTCTACAGATTCTGAAACCCACAAGAACCCTTTGGGTGCTTTTGCCAGGGGAATCCCAATAAGATTCCCCTGATACCCACTTAGTGAGTATCCTTCTTGATAACCCTCTCTGAACTCTATCGGACCATAATATACCTACAGAAAATCGCCTCTGTCTTTAGGGCGGCCAGTTCATGACTGGTCACTGGGGTAATCTGGGCAGGAAGGGCCTGGGGTGGTTTGATTAGCACCTCCTTGTTTGCTGGGAGCTACTTCATTAACATTCTCTAGGATGGGTCCCAGCCTTGGGGACATTAGCATTTCAATTTCCCCAGGTGTTGTTCTGGTTTCCTGAACTCCATTCTCCATATCTACTGATATCAGACCCCTTCATCTGACTAGGAAGTACCTACCCTTAAACCTGGCTTCACCACCTCCCATTTTCTAGCTGTTCTGGGACAAGGGGGTTGGCTGGACTATCCTCCAGTTGAGCTTCAGGGAGCGTCTTTTGAGAAAGGCCTGTTGGGGAGCAGGGGAATTTTGTTCCTTCCAGCTGGCCTCAGATGTGGTCTTTACATTTAACTGGACCTTAACTGGGGCCCATTACCCTGATTGCTGACCACTGACTATTCTCATTCAGTGGCATGGTGACCCTGGGGGAAGGGGGGGCTGCGACTTAGTTGGGAAACCCATGAGTACAGCCCATACTTCTCAGGCCTTTAATATGAGGGAACAAATTGTAGCCTTCCAGGGGAGGGGTGCTCCTGAGATTTGAGACTTTTTCCCTTGAAGCTTAAGGTCATATTTCAAGGGCACTAGGGTTCCAAGGCACACAGCTCTGAAAATGCCCAGGCAAAGCAGTGTGTGAATGGAGGGGAGCTGGGGGGAATTCTCTGGGGGCTATTTTTAGTGCAATCATAGAGATTTGGGGTGTTTTTTTTCCCTGGAACACAGGAAACTTTGAAAATAGACGATCTTTAGGAATAGTAGCCTGGCCAGTGCTATACAAGAGAGCAGCTTCGAGTTTTAGTTTTAAGGGAACTTCAAGCACATGACCATGATCAGCTGTGAAAGGAGGACTTCAGTCTTGAAGACCAGAGACAGGGAAGTACCCTGTGCTCAGGAAACTGAGGTTGGCGGGCAGGGGAAGGTTCAGACCCAAGTTCATCTGCAAAACTGCACCTGCTGCCGCTGACTCTGCGGCCACCAGAAGACTCACGTGGAGCAGCACGGTGACTGAAATCACAGTGTGGATGAGATGGAGGGAGAGACTGGAAAGCCAGGAAAAGGCAAAGCGTGGGGGGTCCTGACATGCAGGCCACAGATGAAGGTGAGCCTACGAAGAATTCCGAGAAGGAGCAGCTGGAGTCACGGAGACTCTGGATATTTGTCCCTGTGGCAGGCTTCCAGGGGCACTGCTCAGCTCTGTCTTTAGAAACCTCCCCAAGCAGGGCAGGGGCCAGGCCACCTTCTCCCAGGGGAGCCCTGGCCTTTGACTGAGCAGGGTGGTGGCAAAGGGCCCACCATTTCTGGGGGCCACTGGGCCCTGAAAGCACATGCAAAAGAATACAAACAGGAAGAGGAAATGGACCAGCGACGCTGTACATCAGAGGGGCACATTTTCAAGGCTAAAATGGCAGCGGGCTGCATCAAGGGTCGGGTTTTATAGGGTTTAGCAAGCCAGGTCACGGGAGTTTTGTTGGCGGGCTTATTTAGGGGGGCAGGAGGTCAGGGAGAGGAAGTTCCCTGAGGCCCCACGCTGGGCTGCTGGAGTTCCGTGCTCCTCCTCCCTTGCTCTCCTCTTTCACCCAGGCCAGGCCTGTATCATGGCGGAGGCCCTCTCGGGCTGCTCCTGAGACATCTCTAGCACCTCTGACTCCATCTTGGATCTGCTTCCTGAAGGGTCTGAGTAGGCCCCAGGAGCTACCAGGGGAGGCTGGAGGGAGTGGGGCTGGGCCAGGCAGGGGCCAGGACCAGGCAGGGGCAGGGCCAGGTGGGGACAGGGCTGGCAGCTGAGGCTCAGCCTGATCTTGCTGCCCCTGCACAGTGGCAGCTGCGCCCTGGATTAACCTGGCCTGCACCAGGAAGCTGGGTCTTCACACCCCTGTCTCTGGGAGTCAGGGCAAAAGCACGTGCAGTCCCTGGGTGTCAGGCACCACCCGCATCCTCCTGCCCTGGTGGCCCTGGAGGCTCTTCACCAGGGATGGCTGCCTTTCAGGATGGAGGGGCCTCCCTCTGGCCCCTCCTGCCTGTCTTCCTCTCACTGTCTCCTTGCAGATCTTCTTTAACACGTCCCTATAGAAGAATCTTTGTCTCTGAGACTAGAAGGAGCTGATGTTGGCCACTGAATGTCTAGAGCAAAAGCATGGTGTGCACGTGTCTGTGCGTGTGTGTGTGTGTGTGCATGCGTGTGTGTGTGTGGCACGGGCCACGTGGTGTGTGTGTACATGAGTGGAGTGTCCTGTGTGCGCGTGGAGAGGGTGTGTGGTACCCTGTGAGGGGTGTGGTGTGGCCTGGTGTGTCTGAGCCAGGTGCTGCTCTGGGCTCTCTGGGGGCAGGGCTGCTTCCAGTGGGCACCTCGCGGTCTGTCCTGCCATAGCCATTCTAACAGCTGTTTGATGTCTCTGTTAAACTAAGGACAGTGGCTTGTCTTCAGAACAGACATCTCCATCTCCCTGCAGGCACCTCACAGGCACCGGCTTCCTGCATTGCCCACAGTTCCTGGCCAGCTGAGAAGTGTGTCCAAGCGACCAGTTTTAAAACTAAATTCTGATTGAACATAACTGGTGGAAACAGCAATGCCAACAAAGAGAAAGCTCAACAAGGATTTAAACTTGTATCCACAGGAGGATCAAGTCACCTTGACAAAATTTTAATTGGGAAAATGTGACTTGAGGAATTGTATGCAGGAAAATAACAGGCAGCGTCAGACCATGGTGGCTTTTGGTGTTTGGGCTGTTCAGTATCCATTCACGCTGCTCCTAGAATTCACCTCAGCTCCACCTCTGCACCCCTTCAGGCCATGGAACTCAGAGGGGGCTCCTCTTGCCAGCCATGGAGTTAGCACACAGGTCTGCCTGCTTCCTTCCCATAGGACTCGATGTTGGAAGCAAGTGAGCTGGAGCTTCCGCAGCCATTTTGGCACTTATGCAAGTAGAGAACAAAGCAGATGTTTTTTTTTTAAAAAGAACATGACACAT